ATCAATCAAACACTCTCCATATACATGAAGAACAATCACATTTAGAGTTTTTGAACTACAAAAATGGACTAATTATTTAAGGGGACTGGTGTTAATAACGGGATACCAAGTGTATGAAGCTGGGACAAGAGTGATTACTAATAGGGGGAGAACATAACATTTGACACACAATGTAAGTGAAATAATGAGATATATCCTTGTTAAACCCAGATGAGCTTAGTTCTTATAGCAATAGCACGTAGACTTATATACTGCTTCACAGTGCTTTACAGCTGTCTCTAAGCAGTTTACAGAGTCATCCTATTGCCCCCAACAATTTGGGTCCTCATTTTACCGACCTTGGAAGGATGGAAGGCTGAGTCAACCTTGAGCCTGTGACACCCAAACTTCCAGACTGCTGGCAGCTGGTGATCAGCAGAAGTAGCCTGCAGTACTGCATTCTAACCACTGCGCTAAAGCAGCTTTTGTGGCACTTATTTTGTATATAAAATAAATAAATAGGTTTGGCCATAACTTTGATTTACTGCAAGGCAGCATGACATTTTATAAGTGTTCCTGCACACTATTTTATGCTTTTTTATACACACAAACCAATTAAATACTATTTACATATTTCTTCATAGAGGGTGTGTTAATATAAAAAAGCACTAATATACTTTCCTTTGTAAGGCTGGCAAGGCTGCTTTTATTTTTGCTTTATTTATCAAATTTGCAAGGTCACCTGACTCTACAGCAATTCTAGGGAGCAAACAATATTAAAAGCAAATTGATAATACCAGAAAAATAGAAGATATATATACAAGTCTTGCAAAGACTGCAGCTGTTTGAACCCTTTAAGGATAGTGCTGTTTGTCTCAACATCTTTTGCAAAGCATCTTTTTGTAACACTTTACCCCATCCTGCTATTTAATACATGAGCTTTGATATATATTATTGTTCAAGTTGCTACTATAAATCATCATAATAAGCATTCAGCTACCACAGTGCCAACAGTCATCAGTTCCAAACTTACCTGAAAAACCATAGCGAAGGAAGTTACTTCTTTTTTCCAGCTGAAGAACCCTTGACGGTGACTGTGTTGCACTGTTGAACTTAAAGGACAATTTAATGCATGCACCTGAAGAAAGCCACAGTAGGCAAGGTACTAGAAAAATAAACAGTTGATTCTGGTCCTGTTTTTCTATACATTTCATTAATGAGGTTATTGAGATCAATCTATAAAAAAAGACCTAATATAGCTATGAATAAAGAGAGATGGGGTGGGGGCATGGAGTGGCCAGTAGCTTACTTTCAGAAAGACTTGGCAAAATCAGTATTTCCATTTACAAATAGTAAGTCAGTCTAAAGAGTATAGCCATACAATTGGCTCATCAACTCAGTCTACTTAGTCCCTCTCCTACTATGGTGTGGAACAGAAAATGTAACTGAGACATCACAGTTCTGTTTTGTGTTGTCATTAAACTGGTCACCAAGGGAACTGATTATTGAGAAGACAGAATGCAAGGGGAAAAATGAAAAACAGAAAGAGGGTCTGGTTTACTCTAAAAGATGTAGAATAAAATGTGCTGCAATTAGAAGTCTCTTCTGAGTACATCAATACATTATGAATATGACCTGGATAGTCTTAATACGAACTTGTGAATCAGTGATTTGGTTAAAAGGTTTTTGAAGGAACTTGGCAAAACGAGTAAGTTTCATAATTAATCCTGAAATTCACTTATCATGTGTATTTTCTAATATAGATAAACTGATCTACCATGTGATTCTGGGTTATTCCTTAGCTATGACATTTTTACTGCATTGTTGGATCAATGGTACTTAACAGTATAAGAAAATGCTTTGGCTAAAAATTAATAACTTCTAAAAACACTACAGGTAGTCCTCAAAATAAAACTGTAATGGACCTTACGTATTAGGGTCACATGGCTTGACAGCCATTAAGTGAGATGCCCTCACTTAAGAGGTGGTATTCAACAGGTTCTGACCAGTTCTGGAGAACTGGTTGCAGAAATTTTGTAGTAGTACTATTTTTGTAGAAGTAGTTCGGAGAAACTGGCAAATACCACCTGACTGGCCCCGCCTCCATCTATTCTCTGCCTCTCGAGTCCCAGCTGATCAGCTGGGTCTTCTTTTGTTGCCCTGCACAGGAGAACGGAGCTGGAAAGCAGGTTAGTGGGGAGGAAATGGGATTTTGCAATAACCTTCCCCCAGGAGTGAGGTGGAAATGGAGATTTTACAGTATTCTTCTCCTGCCACGGCCATCAAACCACGTCCACTGAACCGGTAGTAAAAAAAAAATTGAATCCCACTGTTAGTGACCACCCCCCTTCTGTTATGGCTGTTAAATAAACATGTGAGTTGTTAAACAAAGTAGCAGGTACCTCGTCATGGGTAAAGGAAGCCCTGAGAGGCCTAGTGCAGGCTCAGGCCCCCACCTACCCTAGGCCTCTCTCTCCCCGAGGCATCTGGTGTTCCACTCCCTGCCTCTTGGGGTCCCTGCAGGCTTTGGCCTGCTGCCAACCCAGCCGCCCAAGGCAACCTAAAGCCAGACAGCAGTATTCTTATGAGCCTGTGTTTTAATGAGGGAGGCTCTTTAAAAAACAGAGCCAACCACAGACTCACGAGAATACTACCTGCTTGCAGAATAACATGAGGTTGCCATAAGCAGGAAGCCTCTGTAAGAAAAGTGAGCCTAGCATTGAATCAGCTGGATGCTTCTGCAAAAACCAGAAAGATAAGATGGGTGCTGTTGGGCCCTGGAGCAGGCTGAGGAACAGGCTGAGTCCTTCAAGTCCCTTGGGTGGTTTAATGGAAAGTAGGTCTCAGCCTACAGGCCGCAACAGTCCTCCAAGGCATCAATAGCTTCTGCTGTCCAACTTTAGGATACCTTGAGTGCTGGATGACCTGGACTGCCAGGTTGGGAGCAGGCCAAAGGCTGATGGTGGGATGGGGGGTTGCTGCAGTATCCCTGTGGTTGGTCATAAGGGTGAACATGTGAGTGCTGCAGTGGTTATAATTTTGAAACAGCGTCAGTAGTTTTGGGATGGGTCTGTCATAACTTCCAATGGATGTTAAGTGACCAGTTGCATCTGTACAATGAAGGACAATTGCCCCCACTCCAAACAGATTAGTTTGTCCTCTATAGATGTCATTTTGGACACTAATAATTAATACAGATAAAGAACATCTTTTACGTCAAGATTTTATATACATAGGTCAATTATTATAATTTTTGCTCCATATTCTTCTTTTTGTCTTGCATCTTCAATGTTGTCATCATTATCATAATCAAATCAAATGAAGCTTGGACAAAATTTCTCAGCATCTAAAGCTAAGCCTTTTATTTCTCTTACCTTATGTCATCCGGACATAATTAATAGGGGTATAAACAATGAATATTATTAATACAGGACCATAAAAAATCATGAATTTAGAAAAATGGGACTAAACTCTTTAAGTCTGCTTAGTACAGATTCCGAATCTAGGTGACTTGAAGCAATTGGGGACTGATTTTGTTTTTATTCAAGACAGAGCAAAGAACTTTTAACACAGTCACAGGTAGTACTCAAATTATGACCTTTTATTTAAAGATGGTTCGAAATTATGAAGGTATTGGGAAAAGTGACTTATGATGCATTCTCTAAGGTACAACCTTTGAATCATCCCTATGGTCACATGATAACAATTTGGATGCTGAACAACCAGCTTGCATTTTCAATGGATAGAGTGTCTTGCAGTCAGGTGATTACATTTTGCAATCTTCCTAAACTGGCTTCCAACAAGCAAAGTCAATTGTGGAAGCTGGATTCACTTAATGGTCACATGATTCACTTAACAACCATTACAACCTTGGTAAAATGGTTGTAAAATCAAATTCAGTCACATGACTTGCTTAATGAACACACTGCTTAGTGACCAAAATTCCAATTCCAATCGTAAGTCAAGGACTATCTGAAACTGTTATTCAAACTGATTTCTCATGCTGCATAGCAGCAGCATTGAAAAGGGAAAAAAATGATACAATTTGTATAAAACAAATTGAAGAGGGGAATTTGATGATTAACTGATTTTCCTTTAATTTGACGATTTTGATTATCTCATTAATTGGGTCAGCTATTTCCATGGCCTCCAATCATGTCTTTGAAGGATACTGGACAGTTCCCACACAACTATAATACTCACCTTAATTTTATTTCTAAAATTAAGGTTGAATAAAGCAATTTTATAAAATAAGAATCCTCCTATGCCCTCTGCCATGACAGATGTCCTGACAATCTTCAATAGATATTTCACTGAGAAATAATACACAGCTCAAATCTTATTGCTTCATAAATGGAGGAGACATGCTTTAGTATATTTTCCTGAATAAAACAATTAGACAATTATAAATTATGATAAACACAGAACTGCCCTTCCAATAGTATGGCCATGCTGAATTCTCACCTCACCCCATCCCCATTACATGAAGCAATTTAGAATCTATATTGTGATATTAATATGATGGTTTCCTTGACTCTTGGTCATTAGCTGAAGTTTGAAGGTTTTCCCTATTCCAGATTAGTAACTGAAGACAACAGAATTTTCTGAGCTAAAGATGTGGAATGTAAAAAAAATAAAAATGTAAAAAAGACTGAAAAGGAAGGAAAACATGTTTCTATCCACTTAATGTGAAATCCAATAGTGAGAGACTAGCTTTATTTAAAAAGAACTGATTTATTCCGCAATTTTTTTTCAGGGCCATCACACCTCTAAGCAGAACATAGAGTTTTATACTATCCAAGTAGCAGGAAGAAAATTGAAAACAAAAAAGCTGCTTTTAACACACATACAGTTTGTGCATTATTCTTAGTATATACTTGCCTAAATTCAGCAGAAATTTATTCTTAAAATACTATAGCTAGATTTAGGTTTTCATTAATTGACTTCAAATACCAAATACCTTGAAAAATTATGTGCAAACTAGTTTGGAACATTGAAAAATGTATTACATGACCAAAATGTAATTTAAAAGAATCCATATGTACTTTCCCATATCTACATACATTTCAAACAACCAACATAAAGTTACAGCACCATAGATGATTGCTTTTCAGAAAGCCATTTTTAGTGTGTTTTTCTATATATAAATAAAACGGAGGTCAGAGGATTATTATTTTGTTTAGATCGTAGAAGGAAAAAAAGATTATGTTTGCACAGTAAAACAAGATTTGACTCTAGAGCACTACAGACATATGTTAACCTAAAACTTGCTATGTTCATGCAAAAATAATAAATAAATAATACATTTATTTCACAAAACAAACACATCATGGACTTGTACTTCTCTTATGACAACAGTACCGAGTGATTCATTAAAGCATTTGCCAGTTGTTTAATATATGCACAACTACTGCAAATTCTAATATACAAATTATCTAAGAACTAGCCACTAAAAATAAGAGCAAGCACATTTGTCTTAACTTGACTATTTTGCATTTTAACATGCCAAAAAGAAACATGTAAGTCTTGATTCTTAAAATATTTACCTTTAATATGAAATGATGCCAACTGACAGTTTACTGCATTGACAGTCGGTAGTTTTAAAATTCATGTTAAAATGGTGTCTGAAGGTTTAAACAGACATAAATAAATTTAATTAAATTATTAAAATAGGCTGAATACTGGGAAATATGCTGGGAATTACCAGAAATGTTTCCTATCTGATGCCTGAGAATGAAAAATTCAAAACAATTCATCTAACAGTGTATAATTTTCAGTAAATGTTAGGAGCGTATCATCAGCCACTGCTATGTTTGCTGCTTAGCTGAAATCATTACAGGAAGACAACAGAATACTATATCAGTCCTGATACACTGATCACATAAAATTCAAAATTATAAATATTTACAAGAGGGAGATGGATTTCTTAGCCAACTGTTGCACTTGTTGCAAAATGAGGCAGTTTAAATGGAAATAAGTAAAGACAGGTCAAGTTCAGGATCCACGCTATCTATACTTAAGTAAAGACAGCTTCATAAATGGACTGAATATTATTATATATATATAACGAAACATAATTCAATCCAGTTTAATCCTGATTGGTAGTGCTCTATATGCAACACTGACTAAATATCAGAAGACTTCCAGAGTTAGATTTGACAACTGGTCTTTCAATAGAAAGAAATATATATATATATATATAAAATATAAATATATATATTTATAAATTCGTTTCATCCCAAGAAGGATCGTTCATACTCTTTAGAACTTTCCGGACAAGCTTTTCAAGCTCCTTACGAGCTCTTTGCTCTTCTTCCAGTGATTTCTTCATCTTTTTATTATCCTGACCAAAACACAAAACACCAAAATACATTATGACAATTTGTTTTAAATGAGTAAAAACATTGTTTTCCATGAAGAAATTGGCTTCTACAATGAGGAGACTTTCAGAGTATATTGCTATAGATTTGTGCTCTCTTGAAATAAGTTTATCAGTAAAGAAACCTTGTTTGTTTTGTTCTGAGCTCAGCATAATATTTTCATTTTGTAAAATCCTCTAAAAATGTTGTAAGTGCAAATTAGGAAAAGAATTATCTTATCAGGAGAAGCTACAGTTGATATTTGATAGATGCAAACTGAGAAATAAGAGGAAATATGATGAAATATATTTCACAGGAGAATAGGGAGTCAAAGTAACAAAGTAATTCTTATGTTCAAGATTTTATTAATTTACAAAATAATTATCCAGAACTTTCTTGTGAGATAAACACAACTACTGGCTGAAATTAGAGGTCTTAAAGAATGATTCTTCCAAAGTTAAACTCAGAAGCAGTACGTTGTGGCAGGTGTTTCAACCCCTGATAGGCTCTTACCAGTGATTTTTTCTTAAACTGGAATTAATAGTTTGTGTAGATTGCATGTCTATATTTGCCTTTTACCTAACGTGCTCAAGGGAAGATATTTCTTCCTCCTCAAATAATATTTCCTGCTGACTTGTATTCATACCACATTCTGACTCACTGACTCACCCCGATCTCTTCACTGAGCCTTAAGAGCCTTCATTGAGCCTTGCAGCTGTGTTGCTCAATGTCAGTCCAGTCTCTGATAATCCCTATCTCATCCATGATCTAGTATTCTGATAGGTAGGTGTGAGACTCTACATGAGCTTGAGCCCCAGAGATCATTTGGAATCGCTGCTACTGCTGCTACTATATCAACCTCCCTACTGAGTAGAAGATTTCCTGCTTGTGTTGCTTGTTGCTTTCCTGCTTGTGTTGCTCTGGATTGGCAGTGCAGTTTACTGCAGTTTAAGTTGTTGGGGGACATCATCCAGCTTTTCATAAGTACAGACTTGGAGGCAGAGAAGGAATTCATGACTCCCAGAGCAACTATGAATTCAATTCAGTTTACTGAGGGCCTAATCCACACATGACCTGTTTGGCCTGGGTTTCACTTCAGGATAATAGCAATGTCATCTGGCATTATTAGTGCCTTGTAATGGAAGAATCAGTCACTGTTGACCTGGCTACTTTTCACTGCAAGAAGGACCTAATTGATCTGTCCCAGAGATGTAATGTGCCTAATAGGATTCTTGTTCCTGAGACTTTGATGTATAATCAAAGTCAGGTCTTAGTGGCTGAAATGATAGGGAGATGACAGTCTTAAACTGGATCGTGCTTGGGAGGATTCTAACTGGGCGGGCAAACTTCAGGTCCCTTCTCTAAAACAGTGCCATCTGTTAGGACTACAAAGGCATTCCTTTTTTGTCAGGCACTTGTCCTCTGGAATTATCTCTCCCCTCTTCTATATTAGTTTGTTCCTGAACTTGAAATGCCTTTGAAAAGGTATTAAAAACCTATCTCTTTCCTTGGGTCCTGGGGTCAGGATAAAAAGAGTCTCCATCTGGAGGAAGTTAATAACTGAATTGAATGTTTCTTTTCATTTTAACAGAACTGTCTACCAATATTTGTTTATTCTTAGTTTATTGTAAACTGTCCAAAATCACAGTTGGGTACTCATATAAATTTTATAAATATTCAATTCCTGTTCATATTTTTACTTATAAACTACACACACACACACAGAGCTTAAATTGCCAAGATTTATATTAGATTGGATTACCTATACAATCAATTATGCATGAAGGTTACTTAATTTCTATTTCATTAGTGAATTGATATTACATATTGATTTTCCTGCCAATTCAGAAGCACAATTTTAAAAATAGCCAACCTGTTTTTGACATAACTGCCATATTCTATCATCTTAATTGTAAAATATATTATAATATATTTTACCAACCTGTCTTAATTCCTGTACTTCATCCCTCAATGCATATACTGTGTCAACAAGACTTCTAAAACAGAAAATTAAGATAAAATACTATAAACATATATAAAATTGTATCAATACAGGTGATTTTACATCAAAAAATTATATAATGTGGGATGAAAAAGATACAGAGGAAGCTATTGAACCTGCTCTATTTGCAGTAAATTTTGGGCTTTTCTGGTATTTCTTTAAGACTTTGGCGGGCACAGGAGAGGGAATAAGCTTATGAAGCTAATTACCATAAAGTAACTTGGATTAGGGATGGTTCTGCTATCAAATGCTGTTCAATTCTATTTGTTGCAAACTTTTTTAAAAATAAAGCAGCATTTCAGATGTACATTTATATAAAAATAATATAATTAACAACAGCAAAACACCTGCAATCCTACATACAGATAAAAACAGAAATCCCAGGGTACTCAAGAACGCCACCTTACCACAACACTGATCAACTCCCAGCTGGCACAAGGGCAAAAGAAGATGCAAAAAGAAAAGTTAGAGAACCCAAGATTACTAGAATTGGTCTAAACGGGCAACAGTGGACTGATGGGCCACATTTCAGGCAATTAAGTAATGAATTTCTATAGGATATACATATATACAGTCACATGAAAAAGTAAGCACACCCCATGTAAAGTTTTTTTTTTAACAAATGGGGACATATTCATATTTCACCTTCATTCAAATAGCATTTAAAGATAAAGTTCATGTAATTTAATAATAAAAACTATGACTTTACAATCATTTATTCAATAAAAAATGAAGACATTTCCTTCTGTGGAAAAAAATAAGAACATCTTTGGCAATAATCCCCTGGTATTACTCCTTTTAGCAAAAATAACTTCAAGTAGGCATTTTTTATAATTATCTTTGACACTGACTAGGAAGAATTTCCAGCCCTTGACACTGACTGGGAAGAAATTTTCCCTACTCCATGTAGATTTTTTTCAACTGTGCAGTGTTTGAGGGATTCCCTGCATGAACCACCCATTTCAAATTATCCCAGGACATTTTGATGGGATTTAGATCTGGGCCTTCCAGAACTCAATTTTTTCAGCTATCCCTTGGTAGATTTACTAGAATGTTTGTTGTCATTATCATGTTGTAATTATCATGAGTGTCAGTCTTCTGACAGATGGCCTCACCTTATCCTCAAGCACCCTTTGGTATAAGGAAGAATTCATATGAGGGTTAGCTGTCCAGCCCTTAATGCAGCAAAGTAGCCTCAAATTATGAACATATTCACCAATGTGCCTTACAGTTGGTGTAGATCAGGGGTGTCAAACTCACGGCCCATGGGCTGGATGCATCATGCGTTGGCCACGCCCACACCTGGTTTAGCAAAAGGAAGTTGCAATACGGCACATGATGACGCCGTGATGATACAAGTTTGACATCACTGGTGTAGATTCTTCTGGTGAAAGGCTATCTTTAGTTTTGCCAAACATATATTCTGGTATTGTGGCAAATGACTCTAGCGTGCCTCTTTTGCCCAGAGTACATTGTTCCAGAAATTATAAATTATTCATGAGCAAACTTTCATCTTGCCCTGATTTCTTTCTGGGCAGCAAAGGTTTCCTCCTGGCATACTTCCTATGTAAAAGTAATTTATCTTTCAATTGATAGAGTCATGCATTTTGACATGAATAATGTTGAAAGCCATCTGTAAACCAGATGACAACATTCTGTAATTTAAGAGATTTCTTAAATCCTATATTCTGCTCTTGGGTTGAACTTATAGGGACGATCACACCTGTACAAGTTGGCAGTTGCTTGAAATCTCCAGTTGTATATGATCTTCCAGATTAACAAATGATTGATATCCTATTGCTTGGCAATATTTTTAAATCCCTTCCAAGACTCATAGGTATCTATAACTTTCTTTCTGAAAATCTCAGAGAGAGCTCTTATAAATCTAGGCATGGTGATACTTCAGCAACAAAGAACAAATCAAATTAACTGTCTGAGATTTCAGTAAGACAGTTTTGTCCCCTAGCCTCTCAGACAATATTCTAATCATCGGCACCTCATCTAGTACACAGGATTCTAAGATAGAATTTTAGATATGCGAAGTAGAGACAATGTACGGGTGTACTTACTTTTTCCACATGTGAAATCTGTATTTATGTTTATTTAAACAAATGGAGTACAAAATGTAAATGGTGCAGGATATATTGTATTAGATCCTCTTTATCAATATTGTTGAAATGAAGTTTAAATATCTGTATGTTGAAACATGAAAAAGTCAACAATTTCTACGTGGTGTATTTACTTTTGGCACTTGACTGTATATTCCATACTTCCTTATTATTGAGATACTTACATAACAATGCAAATATTCTACACACACACACACACACACACACACACACAAAATGATATATAAACTGTTTAAAACTTTGTTTTAAAGAAATCATCTTACTTTTCTTCTATCACAGTTTGACCATTACTTTTTGTTTCTTCTACAATAATTTTTTCTTCCTCTGGAAGTAGTACTTGGGGAGCAGATTCTTTACGGGAGTCTAGTATAAAATGATAATAGAATTAAAAGACAAAACATACTTTTAGGCAGAAATTATAATTAAAGTTCATAGGAGCAGTTGATCTTTTATTTGCTTGTTCTCTATTTTATAGATATGCATTATGTAGCAGTCACTGTTTATTATCATTGGCTTCAATAAGAAGGGTCGACAAACTATGATGTAAATTTTTCAACCAGCATTAAATTAGGCAAAAACTGCCAAGTTAAACTAACTGTGTAACTGTTAGATATAAAGCTAGTAAAATAATAAGCAATAAGCAATGATTATGAAATATTCTGTTGCTCAAGAAATTATTGTGATTATTAAATACATTCAGTTAAGATTATTATTTTAGAAAGTGTTTGAAGATGTTGCTGGTAGCTCCAAACCCGGTTATATATAAAAACAATTTTCAATTACTGCATTGCTATCAAACAATTTTAATTACTACAGTTGACTTCAAGTGTCTAAATATCTTTAAATTTAAATTTACTAGTACGGTAACCATATTTTTCTGAAAAAAATTAAAGGATAAACTTGAAAGGGGATCAAATCTGAAAGAGGTTCATAAGGATAAAAACAAATGTTTATACTTATAACTTTGCTTTAGAAAGGAAAATTTAAGACCAAATCCAAGAAAAAAATTACAGAAATGCATTTTCTAATAAAAATATCCAAAATCAATTCATGTAAACTTATTTTTAAAACACAATTCGATTTCCATATTTTTCACATAAACGTGAAAGGCTGTATATCAATCAGTATGTTGTTGTATGTTAAAGTTAAATAACCAAAATAAAGGATAAAAGTGAATTTAAAAAAAATAAATCTAAAAGACAGCTTTGTGAAATAAAGGATTGTCTTTTATAATATGAGACATATGGTCACTATACTTTAAAATAATCTTTCACATCTTTGTGCCACCCATATGTTATCACTGCCCATAATCCTCAACCAACATAACCTTTCACAGCTTTTCTTCCCACTGTTTATTCTGTGGTAAAAGACTAGTACTTTATTGATAACATTCTGAAGAACAAAAACCAGCATATTCAGAGGTGTGATTCCACTGCAAAAAATATTACTATCACACAACCTGTAAACTTAGTTTATATAATTAATTATAATTTATAAAATTATACTAATTTTATAAGCGTAGTGATAGCAATATTTTCCTGCAATGGAATAACATTTCTGACTCTACAGAGTTTTTAAATACTTAACATGAAGTAAAATTCTATTTATCATTGGACAAGGCACCAACTTATCAACTACATAGCTGGGGAATGATCATTATGATACAGATTGAGTCAGAAATGTTAAAAATATTTTTAAAAATATTAATTCTGCATATAGAATTAAAACAAAACTTCTATGGTACAAACATAATGCAAGTGAACTCAAAATAAAAACTTAAAAGTAGATTGAAAAAATAGTGATCTGTAGTGAGACAGATGTTAACTGAAGGAAAAACTACACAAAACAATGTTTTAAAGTTAAGTTACTCAAACAACTCAGGAAAGTTATTTCAAATGTAAAAACATGGCAGAAAGGAAAAGAGAAGGATTGAAATTAAATAATGGAGGCACAATCCTTGGGTTATGAGAGAAAACTAAAGAGTATATAAAACTATTACTAGAAAAATACCAATAATTTTAAAATAAGATGATAATTTCTGAGAAAAAATATTAACTTTATTCTGAGAGCCACAGATAATTCACTTAATATTAAGCCTAGGGGTCCATTATCTTACAAGTGGTACCACAACCCAGTTAACCTTTAAATAAATAGTCATTTATATCCATTGAAATTAATAAGAAAAGATATTTAATAAGGTATATAAGATCAAGTTTTCAAAGAGGTTGATGACATTCTGTTAATGCAAACCTCAATTAATTCACTGTTACTTAATCCAGTCTTCTTTGGAAGCATGTGAAACCATATGAAAATGTCATTTCTGCCGCAAATACATATTACCCAATATAGAAACATGTTTAAAGTTTTGATTCCATTAACACAGAAAGAAATTTCACCGGGGAATGTTTTGCCAAAAAATCCAATAAAATATAAATAATACGTGACTGAACTCCAATGTTCAATACAATTTTCAAAATGGCAATTTCCTTTTGCAACATAGCATAGGAAAGAAAAAAAACCCACTCCTACCTGCTATAATCCTCATTATCACATAAACACACCTGCCCAAGTACTTTCCGCTTGCAGGTTTAAAAACATCCCTTTTAATGTTACCTTTAATTTCAACCTTATTGCAGAAACAAACCCAAAAGACAATGATAAAAACTCCAAGAGCTGCAAGAAGTCTGTAGATAGCAGCACTTTATTACTAATTGATTAGCCCAAAGGAAAAAGAAGAAGAAATTGTTAGACAGCAAATAAAACAACCACAGTAAAAACCAATAATTATAATACTGGAACAGTCAAAGTATGGCTTATTTTAAAAACAGTAAAACAAAACTTAGCCAGGTTAAGGGAAATAACATCACAATAATTGGATTACAAAGATTAATAAAATGGATCTAGGTAAGCTGGAAATCTGACTAGATGGGACATTATTACCTGCAGCTGGGTGTCTTTATAATTGCAGCAATATAACAAAACATGGGTTTAATGTTTCAGGAAGTCTGTAACATATTGTCCAGTAAAAGAATTTTTGCTGTAATCCCTGAAAAATAAACAGCTGGTATTTAGGATTTCTTTATTCCTCTTAAAGAATGATCAGGCAACCTTTGCCAAATTGGTTAGATATACATCAGATTATATATGGATGTTCTAGAAATCTACTTTCTGTATGTAAAGAGTCTCTTGGATTTGCATGATGGAAAAGAAAGAACGCAAGGATACTAACACAGGATTTCTCAAATTCTGTTGTATCTGAATCCATAAAATGAGGCACAGATTGATGTGAATATCTCCATGTATAAAATCAAGATTTCATTGGCATTTCAGATTGAAATTTTATTTTCAATTTTATATGTATGTAAGCTTATGGGTTCTCAGGCTTTGTAGAACTGCCTACTTCAGACTTGCACAGACTTCACTTCAGACTCCCATTCTACCTTCACAAATCTAACCAGATTAAACATTAACAATCTGTGGATTCCTCTTCATTTCTTATGATTCCCCAAAGGGACTCAATTTACTTCCTTAAAGATTAACTCTTTGGTTTAATTACAGCATACCAGGAGTTTAGAAATTTGTTCAATAAGCATGCCATTAAATTTTTAAACCAGGTGAGATTAATAAGTACAAACGCATCACAAAACACTCACACTCAAATATTTCTTAGATAGAGATAACTGACATTTAAAAAGAGGAAACACATTGGATAAAACACAATGGCTATTATTATTAATGCATTCTGCCAAGCATCTGTGATGACTTGAACTCCAAAAGTAGAGTCTATTGTTTATATCTGATCAAAGTCCCAGGGGAACGTAAATCTTGTTCTTCAGTAGATTTCTGTGTTCCTAGCCATTTATTTCCAATGTCTGCCCTACTGTTTCTGTCAATCTTCAAGATTTAGGCCTGCTAGCTTTATTTTGTTAGAAAGAGAGGTTTAATTGAATATTGTAACAATATTGGACAGGATAAATAATGTATCAGAAAAGTTACTGTATATCTCACTAAACCAGCCTTCCATATTTTTGATAATAGCATGAATCTAATAATTGCTGTTGAGAAATAGATACTTTGGAGCTCTCAAAGAATAATTTTTTTTTTCCAACAGATCCACACAACTCTTTAAAATTAGATGTAACCTATATTAAAACTTGATACTGGAAAATGTCCTTGAAGTTCTTGATGTGGTTTCATGTCTTTAGGAGGAAAATGCTGAGATATCAGATGCAGGAGCTGATGATGGACATGCCTGTATGTATTTTGCTTAAAGTAATGCACTTCTAAGCTATCCAAAAAGAAGAAATGAAAACATGCAGGTTTTTCCCCCTCCATATTTTGTAGAATTTAATATTTTTTCCCTATTCCTACGCATTTCTTTTTAAAAGTTGCTTGCATAGGAGATAAGACTAAAGTTTAACCACTAACCATGTTTTGTAAAAAGCTTTGGCAGTAGTGCCATTGGACTAGCCTATTATATGTGCATGTTTGAAATCTGTAAATAAGATAATGCAGGCTTGGATTGTCTTACGGTAGCTATATTTATGAGCACTATATGGTCCAGAACCCATACATCTGTTTGGAGGAGTAGAAAAGAGGAAGGAAGTTTCTAGAAATTGGTCACTTTCTTTCATTGGTTCCACTTCATCAATAGATACTGTTTCCAGATCTCTTGAACACAACAATAACATTTTTTTTACAAATAGTTTAAGACATTTAACAAAGATGCAATGCTTTCTTTATTGCAACTAAGTATTCCTTGAAAAATGACTTGTATGGAAAGATGCCCAATCTTTAACAGGGAGATATAGCGCTTTGGATTCAAGCCAAAAAGACCCTTCAAGCATTCAGATCTGTTCAACTAAGACTGTCATAACTCCTAAAAGAAGCAGTAACAGTTCTCAGGATTTTGCAGTGATTATTCACAGGTCTTCTGCAACTAATGACAGTATTGTTCGCAATAAAAATAATAGACTAAATGAAGGAAAATTACAGAACACAGGACACAAACAGAGCAACCATATTCATTTTATTCACATAAGAACTAGCAGTCTAGTATTGTTAAAGTACTGTATCATCCCATAAAAAAGGAACTTTGAAAAACAATCATACATTTAAAAAGGAATATTCTTAAAATGGAATTAGAAGTCCACAAACTTGGTTTCAGCTTGGCAATCAGATAAATGATAACATATGCAGTCAGAATCCATTTGAAGACATCCATTTTAAAATATATCAAAATTAATGTTCACAAAAGATTCAAAGTCCTCATCTTACATCAACAAGTTGCAATTAATCCATGAGAACAATGAAAGAAAATGAGGGAAGAGAGAAATGGAACAATTTTCAATCTCTGTAAAAAA